GGTGGCCTGAGTTAATACCTACAACTTAAATTTATTTTGAGCAGTTAGTTGCTACAGTTACACTTTCATGTTTCCATGATTTTGTGTGTTTTAGTAGATATAATCACAAGAATCAGCTGGTCTACACAACATATCTGGAGATGCCTGGGGATCAGCATGATGCGAATGCACTTGCAGCCAGTGAATCTTCCATCCAGTCTCGGGACTTGCGGACCATGAAGTATGTTACAACTAGGGGTGTAAGAATTCAAGCCGAACCCGATGAACCCGCCCGAGCCGACTCTACCTACCCAAAAATAGTGGGATTTTTTTTTTTTTTTTTTTTTTTTTGCGGTAGCAATAATGGGATTCAAGGAACCCGATATTGCCCCTACCCGGCCGAATTTATCAGCACAGGAAAAGAAATCAGCCCTAAATCTAATGTTTTCTTTGGCCCAATTCTAACATTTTCTTTGACCACGGCTATTTTCGAACACACACAATACAACACAGCTATTTTCAGACACACGCAAAACAGGCCCAATCTCAACGTTTTCTCTAGCCCATGATAATGGGCTTAATTACAAGAACCCCAACGTCAAGGCCCAATCCGACCAACCCGGTCACCCCGAGCCTACCCGAGATAATCTGAAAGGTTACGGTTTTATTGGCTTAAAGAAGTGTTGCGGTCTAAATCTTTCTTAGCCCGCACATTATGGCTCGGCCTAATTTCAGGCCCAAGCCGATCCTACCCGGACGACTTACAGGCCTAGTTACAACTTATATAATATGTGTATTTCTTTAACTTTATGAGTAGTTTGCTTTGGTATTCCTTTCCCAACCTTTGATGACACTCCTACTACATTTGTTTGAGATGTTGGTGCATTTCAAGTGGATAACGCACACATTAGAGATCTTTTTTAATTCTGTCGGGCATTTTCTTATCAACAAAATATGGATGAAAACAGTTTGGAACCATTACCAGCGTGGGATTTCACCCTTTTTACAAGACATAAATTCAAAAAAAAGCAGGAAAACAAATTCGATAATGTTGATTACAACCCCAAGAAGCCTCATATACTTGGTAACACTGCATTTTATGGTTCCTCTAACGATACAAGTCAAAACTGGTGTGAAATTTCTGATTTACTTTTGTGCATGGATTTACTCAGTTTTTGCCTGTTGGTCTTCATGATTAAAGCACAAAATTATTGTTTACTAGAAATCACAGCACTCCTGAAATCTAGCTAGCATCATTTTTTGGTATTGAAAGGCATGCGTACTTATGAATTCATATAGGATTAGTGTGAAGGACACCACCAATATATTCGTTGAGTAATCAATCTTTCTTTTGTCCCTTTTTGAGTTAGGTGACTTGAGTGTAAATTTTGAATTGAGTTTGAATTATAATTTAAGTTGAAGTTGTAACTTGAGTTTGTGTTTAGTTATGTACATTTGAGTTATAGTTTGAGATAATAATTTTTTTGAGTTTATATTTGAGTGAGTCAAAACTTAAATTTATATTTAGATAGTATTTTAATAAAAACTCAATGCTGATGAAAAATTTTAATAGGATATATGGATAGGGTTTTATTCGTCTTTTCGTTGTCAACGCATAGAAAAAAATCATCTCAATCAGAATTAAAACGAAAAAGTTATAACATTTTTAAAAATAGAAAAAATACTGTTCATTAATTTGAGTTCCAGTTTCTGAACTCGAGTTAAAAGAAAAACTGAAACTCGAGTTTTAGTCACAAACTCGAGTTCAAATTTAAAAGAACATGAACTTGAATAAAGTTGTAACTCGAGTTGTTTTTTTTTAAGTTTTTAACTCAAAAAAGGGGCTACTCAGCCCCTTATTCGTCTTTTCATTGTGAACGCATAGAAAAAAAATCATCTCAATCAGAATTAAAATGAAAAAATTATAACATTTTTAATAATAGAAAAAAGACTGTTCATTAATTTGAGTTCGAGTTTATGAACTCGAGTTAAAGGAGAAACTTGAACTCGAGTTTTAGTCCCAAACTCGAGTTCAAAGTCGAGTTCAAAGTCGAGTTCAAACTTAAAAGAACATGAACTTGAATAAAATTGTAACTCGAGTTGCTTTTTTTGAATTTTTAACTCAAAAAAGGGGCTGCCGAACAGCCCCTTAGTTTTTCAAAATTCTTTTACATGTTTAGTTCAACGGATCATATTTGTCTTGTAGCCCGTTCAGTTCGCTAATTTGAGTTAAGATGTGATGTTGTGTGAGAGCTTTTTACTGTAGTAAAAAAGTTAGATGTGACTATTTTTGAGAGCTTTTTGCTATAGCAAAACTCAAATTCTAAACTCGAATCAGCGAAAAGAACGGGGCCTAAACCATGTGCTTCGGGTGCTATAAGCCAAGTAGGTAGAACTTTTCTGAACAGATTTGATATCCAAAAGTGGCATTCGAAACGCCTTCGTCTGTATGAAATGATAATTGATGGTCTTTGAAGAATATTAGGGGAAGAATCCCTATTTCAAATGCTTACGGGATATGTCAACTAATTTATCCAGTTTGGACTTTTAGTTTAAATTAAGAGCTAAAAAAAAAAAAGGATGTTTGAAAATCACAAAATAGCAGACGCATTTAAAACTCGTTCTAAAATGATTTTATTTTTTATATAAAAATAAAAATAAAAACGTTTTCAATTTCAAACAGAAATCATTTTTAAAAATACGTTTGATAGTTTTATCAAGAGATTATTTTCAGTGTAAAAAAACTCATTAATATCTCTCTTTCTCTCTCTCTGTGCTCGAGAGAGGAGAAAACGAAACCAAAAAATGAAAAACAACTAAAAGTCGTTTTTCATTTCTCTCTCATTTTACACTACACCAGAAAATCGTTTTCATTTTCGTTTTTTATCTTTATTCCGCGATTACTCTAGTTTCTCAAACGCGTCTCTCTGCCGACAATATAGAATGTGGAAGAGTCAGGTGTAATCGAAATTTCTTAAACCTTTTGCGACCATGTATATACAATTGACCTCCAAGTCATTTCTGACGGCCTTAGATTAAACTATGAGAAGTTCTTGAGTTCCAATTCTCAGATTGGTACACGATCAGTTGAAGTGAAAACAAGATGCATATTTCCCTGAAAAATAACATAAAATGCATATCTAGCTAGTACTCTAAAAAAAGAAAAAAAAAAGCTCTCCGGCAATGATTAATTTCGTTTCATTAGACCTAATAATATTCACAGTCACCTTCAACTGTCACTTCATTTTGTGACAGATAGAAAGCAGGAGGCTCACAACTAAGACCAACCAATATCCAACTACGCGATACACCCCACAGCTTAACAAACCACAGAATGGCAAAAAGATATGCAATATTCAATACCCTTTCTTATGCAGAGCAGCAGAGGTAAATAGTTACGGTCTACATACACTCAACATATCAAATCTACTTAGCATTTGCTTCTCCAAGTTATAGTCAAGAGATTTAAGGTCTAAACGAACGGGAGGTGAAAGGGAGTCTCATCTTAGAGAAAGGGTCATTCCAATTTCTAGTAACTAATTAACAAAAGGAAAGAAGAAGCAACAGTTGTCTGAAAATAAGGCCAGATTTTAAATCTCCGGTTCAACGTTTTAAGAGATGCACCCCACAGTACAGGATATCATGAAATCAACCAAATCACAACATCGTAAATCAAGCATCTTCCTAAGAACAAAATCCCAAAATAGACAACTTTTAAGATTTTTATATGCATCGTCATTACATTTGAAAGCCCTGATGCACCTATCGTGAACCCACCTCGTTGATTAGAAAGAAAACGAAAACATTAACAATATTCAAAAAGGAGAAAATTAGATGAGTGTAGGGAAGGGGAACATCAGATAAACAGAATACCCGAAGTCTCAGGTCCAGAATGGTAAATTGGCAACGGTGAGCTGTTTTCAACAATATAAGTTTCCATACGTCTCTCTCTCTAATCACACAGAAAGTTCAAGCTTAGCAGCTAATATATCGTTACTCTAATCACACAGAAAGTTCAAGCTTAGCAGCTAATTATATTGTTAAGTTGGACTGTCAATCTGCAAGCCAACATCTATCTACCCCCACCCCCTCCCCTTGAACCTCCCAAAGCAATAATCATTGAACTTGCCAACTTGAGCTTGGCACAATTCTCGTTTATGTATCATATGCTATTCTTTGACTACACATTATTCACGTATTTGGGTCGGGAAGTTCTAAAATAAAAGCTTCAAAATAAAGTCTTCTCATCGAAAGAGCCGGAAAAAAGAGGGTTCGAAATTACCGCACAGTCACATTAACCAGTCTCAAAGAAAGAAACTTTTAAGTGAATTACGAAAAATAGATTTGCCAAATATGGTTACTCTGTAATGGGATTAAAGTGTGCAAAAGAGTAAACTGGTTCACGAAAGCAAAATGATAATGAGAAGGAAAAAAAACGAATGGGTCAAGACAGAAAGGAAGGAAATGAATATTGAATACTAAAAGATCACGACTACTATCTAATTAAAATCGGTTGCCAAAAGGAAGAAAGCAAAGCAAGACAAGCAACTGAAATAGGCATAATGCTAAAACGTAAAGCCATACCAATAACATATGCATCAATTATCGTACTGCCAAAGATGTTGCTATCTAATTAAATTATCCAAATCCAACGTTTCCAAGCCAACAACTTTAGTGCGTAACAATGGCCAAAAACCCTTGCTTGCGCAGATCTTATTTATGTCTTTACTAAGTTTCCCCAAACAACAAGCTATAAAACAACAAAATTAATGCCATCCAAATCACCTATTTTGAGCCACAATTAGCTAGTTCCTTTGAAACCCAACTATGGAATTATTAAGTTCTTCTCCAATTATCAAGAATTCTCAGAATCGTACCCCTTAAAAGATAATAATCAATACCTAATTCCCAAGATTAGTCCAACACAGAATCCTTCCCACGGGTTAAAAAAATCCAAAAGTTTTCAATCCCATATCAATTTACGGCAAAAAAACAAAAAAAAAACAAAAAAATCCAAAAAATTTCCAAATCAAATTTTCCATAAATCGATTACCAGCTATATAGCACAATCGAACTAGTATACACAAAATATAAGACAGAGAAAAAAAAATCACTAGTCACATCAATTCTCTAAAAATTACCTAAATTTAACGAAGCGAGAGCGACAAAGCGCACCTAATCGGAAATAGATTCATTCATTCAATCAAAGAGCGTCGGAGAAATCCTCCATCAATCGCGAATCCCGAGCTCAACCTCGAGCTCGTCGTCGTCTTCAAAGAGCTTGAGAAGACGCGCGTGCTGTTCTTCCCTCTTCTTCTTTTGCCATAGCTTGAAGAGGAAAACAGAGAATCCAATCACCGCCACCAAACCCAGGCACACGATTACGACCTTGATCCCCGCAGAGCTTGCTTTTCTCTCTGATTTTGAATTCGAAGGCTCGCCACTTGCTCCCGCAATGCCTGCAGATACACAATTGATGAAAAGTAGTGTTGATGAGCGATCAGTTTCAAAAGTCAAGCTAAAGAAAAAATCATCTGGAAAAGAGAGAGAAAAAGAGAGACCTGAGACGAATAGAATCAAAAGCGAGAAGAGAAGAGAAGAGAATTGTTCGGATCTTCGGCCATGGAAGCTAGTCATCTCTCTCTGTCTCTGTCTCTATCTCCTTTCGTTGGCTCGTTCTGTATCTGTTCTATGTAAAACGTAAATGCAAATTTCTTTGTGAATTTAGAACCTTTCGTCCCCAAACTATTTGGTAAGTAATAACTTGGTTCCCGCTCTTTTAATTTTTGCAAAAACGACCCTAAACTCTCTAAACCTTTGCAATTGAAGTTTTTCGTTGAAGTCCGTTTAAGTTTTTGGCCAAGCAGACCATGTGTAATTCATGTTCAGTAAAATTACGTTAAAAATTTCAAAAAATATTCTACGAGAAAACTCAATATGGAAGCCATGGTCGGTGATGTTTTGTTTTCAAGTTACAAAATCAATAGTTATTAAATATTGTGTGGGATGGTTTCTTACCAAAAAAAAAAAAAAAATTATTATTACTTATGCCTCTTGAATTTTAGAATTATTTTCAATTTATCTCTTAAATTTTAAAAATTCTCATTTTATTTCCTGAATTTTAAATTATTTCCATTTAATCCCTTATGTAACAATTTTTGTTACAAACAAATAAAGAAAAGAGAATAACACAGTCTCGTAATCTTTTTATTTAGATTTCTGTTAAAAGAACGGATAAAAACCTCATGACCACATTTAACATCCTCTTTTTCAGTCTAATTTTAACAAAAATTACATCGAAATAAGTTAAGTGATAACAATTTAAAATTCATGGAGTAAAGTGAGAGTTTTTAAAATTCAATAGGTAAATTAGAAATGACATTAAAGTTCAGGAGGTACCAATAAGAATAATTCAAAAAAAAAATGGAAAGCAAAACTAAAGCGCCGTTTCGATTGGCTTAAATAAGCTACTTTAGACTTTTTTAGTCTAAAAGCCGCTTTTAAACCTATTTAGATAGACAACCTTATAGTGCTTTTGACTTTTTTAAGCACTTTTAAAATAAATTATTTCCTTGGTGCTTATGAAAAGATTTTTTATTTACATTTTTAACATTTTATTTGTGAACAACAAATTAAATATTTCATACATTTCTTTTTATAACAATAAGTGTTTTTGAATTTTTTGCCCAAATAAGTTCAAAAGTTCTTCTTAGATACAAAATTACTTTTTCAGACACTATTCAAATACTATAAAAAAGTCCCAACTTGTACTTATTTTTTTCTACTACTTAAAATTATAAACACAAACCCTAAATAAGAAACAAGCTTTATTACAAAGTAAATGGTAATAATTAAAAAAAGAAAAAAAAAGGTGAGCTACTGCAAAACCAGCAAGACATATTGATATGCGTTTATGTTTTTATCATATCTGTGAATTACTCATTTGAAGCTTCTAAAACAGAAAAGAAAATAAAATAAAAAAGAAAAATAGAAACTTTTTGGCCCGTTTAGTTCATAAATTTGAACATAAAAGTTTAAATAGTAATTTGAACCTATAAAATAAATAGGCACTTTGTCTTATTAACTGATTATTTTTGTTTTAGGTTGAATGACATTAAACATCCTTTTATTACATTAGTTTTTATAACAGTAAGTACTTTTGACTTTTTTATTAAATAAATTAAAAAACTCTTATTAGATATAAAGTATTTTTTTAGGCACTATCTAAATATTAATAAAAAAGTCTCAACTTATACTTATTTTTTTTACTACTTAAAAGTATAAACGTAAACTATCTCAAACGAGCTCTAAATAAGAAATACATTTTATTAAGAAGTAAACGGTAATAATGTAAAAAAGAAGAAAAAAAGGTGAGCTACTGCAAAACCAGCAAGACATATTGAAATGCGTTTATGCTTTTACCATTTTTGTGAATTACTCATTTGAAGTTTTTAGAAAAAGAAAAGGAAAAAAGAAAAATAAAAACTTTTTGGCCCGGGTTCATAGATTTAAACAGTAATTTGAATCTATAAAATATATCAAATAAAAAAAAGAAAATAAAAGGAAAAATAAAAAACTTTTTAACCCAAATTTATAGATTTAAATAGTAATTTAAACCTATAAAATATACATGTGCATGCTCGCCTATAAAATATATCAAATAAAGAAAAGAACTATAAAATATACATGTGCATGCTCGCCTATAAAATATATCAAATAAAGAAAAGAACAAAAAAAGGAAAAATAAAAAACTTTTTGACCGCATGCACCAGCCGGGAATCGAACCCGGGTCTGTACCGTGGCAGGGTACTATTCTACCACTAGACCACTGGTGCGCTTGTTGGGCTGGCTTTTCAAGTATTTAATTATTGAATAGATGTAAAAGTAATTGCCTCCTTTTATGGCGCCAAATTATTATATAAATTTTCGGGGTTTTGGTTCCATGATTGTTGTTTTCGTAAAACGACAAGTCGTGTAGTTTTATTTGTAATAGAAACTGCAGAGGATGTTCAGGGAAATGATCAAGGGCGAAGAAGAATGTGAGCTTTTGGGGAAATGTGCATATATCATCATTATATATACCAAAATAGTTACAAGAGAATGTTACCTGTACATATGTAGCTATACGGTTTTCTAACAGATACGATATAGTGGAAATTTGTTCAGTAATGTAGATAGTTCTTGATATAAATAGCCGTTTTGTAGCTTTATAATTTAGCTTAATTTTGTTATTACTATGTAGTTTATCATATTAGTTTTGAAAGGATTATTATCATTAGAAGTATACTAACACAACAAATTTATGAGAGTGGAGATGCAATATAGAATTTTCTTAAAAAAATTTAGAAATAGTAAAAATAACATAGTAATTGCTTCCAATAATATTTCATGTTTATACTACAAAAGATCTTCGTAATTATTGTAATTATATTAAAATTTTCTTATATGCAAAGTATTCTAAATTTGGAATATGACTCATACACAGGGCAATCATACTTGGGCCCAGTGATAAGTGATCTTGCGCCGTTACGATGGAATGTAAATGACGTTACGTTAGCGTAATGGTCTCCTCGGAAGTAAAGGCGGGAACTGATTCTAGCTTGAATTCTTGAAAGATATATGCTTTACTTTCCTTGGCACCATCAAAACTATCCAATGGATGTTTTCCTCTTCCTTTTTGCCTATATCAAACATGAATCCCAGCAAACATGTACAGTAGTCGCCAAAAATCTATCCTCAAAGGCCTCGTTTGAAACGTCACCGTTTCACTCCATCGAATTTCATTGGTAATACACACCTCCCTTACAATCTCAAGGATTTAGCTTCATATATATATATATAATTATATATATTTGTGTGTTTTTTACTTGTTTTCTGCTTTACACAGATATTTCTTCAGTTTATCAGTAGGAAAAAATGGCTGGTTTGCTTCACGGGACGCTTTTGGTCACCATTTTCGGAATTGATAGGCTTCAACTTGGTAGCGGATTCAATACCTGTTGTGGGAAGGTGTGTAACTCTTACTTCAAATCAATCCTTTTTTTAATATATATATATATATATATGTGTGTAAGGTCTCTGGTTACGCACTTGGAAAGTGCCTGACCGGAACGGCAGTTGTATAATTCTGCGTAAATCGTGTATATTTATATGTAAATTATGTATATTTACATATAAAGTCGTGTATATTTACATGTTAAGTTATAAGAAACGATAATGTATATTAATCCTCAAAATATGTATTTTTTATAATAATTAGTGAACACATGACATGAAAATATGTATATTAACTGATTTATTGTATTTCATGTTAAATATATACGACTTTACATGTAAATATACATAATTTATACAGAATTATACAACTGCAGTTCCGGTCAGGCATTTTCCAAGTGCTTGACCAGAGACGATTCATATATATATATATATATCTTTTAGTTTTTTTCCCTGTGGAATATGCAGTTTTTGTGCTTGTTTAACATGAATTTAGAATTCTGCCTATGCAAAATATAATATACATGTATATAGTACTCTGGTTTCTTAGTTGTGTATCAAAATTTTGAATAAATCGACACAAAATATGATTTTCTTGAATAAATACACTAAATGAAAACAATAATTAAGTTGTCACATCTTTTAGTTAGGGTCCTTCACGTATTTCAAAGCACTATACGTTTAAGGGGGAAATTTTATTGCATAAGATTTTTGCTATTTGTCTCTAGTTCTGGTAACTCTACCGAATTCAGGAATAGGTAAGTAATTTGTTAGTCAAAAAAGCCAACTCTGGCAAGCTTACTCATGTTTTGATTGTGGTCTGTGCGTGTTGTTATTGTTCACTATCTGTAACCGTGCCTAAATGTGTTAATACAACATAAATGGTGGTTATTTTATTTTCTATTTTCTGGTGTGTTTTACCTAATGCTTTTTTTCCATTTCCTTCTTTTTCTCTCTTCACCTGGGATAATTCGGATTCTTTTGATGCACACAAGTCACCTAGGAAATTTCTTTCTGAAGTCAAGAGAACAGTACTTTTCCGTCCTAAGGTACATAATCTTAAAACTTAATATTATGAAGCACAAAAAATAATAATAATAAAGCACATTTTTCTCTAGAGTACTAGTCAATTATCTACATTAATACTCTTTATTTTGCATGGGAATAATAAAAAAACATCGTGGAGATTGTTGGATCCAAGCTCTATGCAACAGTTGATCTAGACAAGGCAAGAGTGGCACGTACCAGAGTGGTGGACAAAAATCCAAGCCGCCCTGTTTGGAACGAGAAATTCTACATATACTGCGCTCATTTGACATCAGATGTGATATTCACAGTAAAAAATGATGAGCTAGTTGGTGCAACACTTCTTGGAAGAGCTTACCTGCCTGTTGAAGCCATCATCTATGGGCAGGAGGTGGATCGACAGGTTTCGATCTTAGACGAGGGCCGAGACCCGATTGGTTCGAAAATTCGTGTTACGGTGCAGTACATCCGAGCCACTGAAGAAAGTAATCGGTCTTTGGGAACCCAATACAAAGGGGTTCCCAGGACATTCTTTAATCAAAGACAAGGTTGCAGAGTCACTTTGTATCAAGACGCTCATGTTCCGGCTGGTTTTGAGCCACAAATATACTTATCTGGTGGTCAATTATATGAGCCTCAGAGATGTTGGGAGGACATATTTGATGCAATCATCAATGCAAAGAACTTTATCTACATAACTGGGTGGTCTGTTTACACTCAAATAACTTTGATAAGGGATCCAGAGAGGAGAAAAGCAGGAGATGATATCACACTTGGGGAGCTTCTGAGGAAGAAGGCTGATGAGGGTGTCACGGTTCTTTTGCTGGTTTGGGACGACCGGACATCGGTCGAGGAGTTTAAGAAGGATGGTCTTATGGCGACACATGATCAGGAGATCGGAGAGTACTTTAGGAACACCAATGTGCATTGCTTCCTGTGCCCACGGAATCCGGATAACGGGAGGAGCATAGTTCAAGGGTTTGAGATCTCCACCATGTTCACCCACCATCAGAAAACTGTTGTTGTTGATAGTGAAATTAAGGGGTCTCAAAAGAGGAGGGTTGTGACTTTTGTTGGCGGTATTGATCTTTGTGATGGAAGGTATGACACGTTGGAGCATCCGCTTTTCGGTTCCTTGGGCACTACTCACTACAATGATTTTCACCAGCCCAACTTTCCGGGGGCTTCCATAAAGAAAGGCGGTCCAAGGGAGCCTTGGCATGACATCCACTGCAGGCTGGAAGGGCCTGTTGCTTGGGATGTCCTGTACAACTTTGAGCAAAGGTGGAAAAGGCAAGTTGGTAACAAGTTCTTAATTCCTCTTAACAAGCTTGACCAAATTCTAATCCACCCCACACCTAATACTACCTCATCAAGTGATGACACCGAGAATTGGTATGTTCAGCTGTTCCGATCCATCGATGGAGGGGCGGTTTATGGCTTCCCCGAAAACCACAAGGAAGCGACAGAAATGGGGCTAGTCACTGGCAAGGACAACGTCATTGACCGCAGCATTCAGGATGCTTATATTCACGCCATTCGCCGAGCCAAAAACTTCATCTACATCGAAAATCAGTACTTTCTCGGAAGCTCATTCGGATGGAGGTCTTCGGATATTAAGGTTCAGAACATCAACGCTTTGCATCTAATACCTAAAGAGCTCTCACTGAAAATCACAAGTAAAATTGAAGCAAGGCAGAGATTTTGTGTCTACATTGTTATCCCAATGTGGCCTGAAGGTATTCCCGAGAGTGGTTCTGTTCAGGCCATATTGGATTGGCAAAGGCGGACAATAGAAATGATGTATACTGATATTGCTCAAGCTCTTCAACGACAAGGTTTAGATGAAGACCCCAGGGATTATTTGACCTTTTTCTGCCTTGGGAACCGAGAGGAACCTGGGAATTTAACAGAATATAGACCTCCAGAGAGACCAGATCCTAACTCTGATTACAGTAGAGCCCAACAAGCCCGACGTTTCATGATTTATGTTCACTCCAAAATGATGATCGGTAAGCACTTAAACTATCTTCGCATTTTTTTACTAATTTGATATGTGTTGTACTTGGTGTCAAAAATGTTATGTAAGAAATACTTGTCTTTGGCAGTTGATGATGAATACATAATAATTGGATCCGCCAACATCAACCAAAGATCCATGGACGGCGCGAGGGACTCGGAGATTGCCATGGGAGCTTTCCAACCACACCATGTAGCCAGCAAGGAACCAGCCAGAGGCCAGATATACGGCTTCCGAATGGCGCTCTGGCGCGAACACCTCAGCGTGTTCTTGGAGAAGAGCACTTTCAATCATCCTGAAACTGTTGAATGCATCCAAAGGGTGAATCAGATTGCTCAAAGGAACTGGGAACGTTACTGTAGCGACACCTTTAACGGAGACCTCCCGGGACACCTGCTTCGCTACCCCATTGAAGTATCCAAAACTGGAGCTATTACTACTCTTCCAGGGTTTGAGTTTTTCCCTGACAACAAGGCCAAAGTCCTGGGAGAAAAATCTGATTACCTTCCTCCAATCCTCACCACCTAATAGCAGTTGATATATACATACATACATAATTTATTATGTGTGCGTGTATTTAATATATATATATATATATATTTATTTATTTATATAAACACACACTCAAGTTGTTTGAATATTGTGTAATGTGGTACATGCATAGGACATATGTATTTGATTGAATTGTTAAAATGCAGTGTTTCCTCCATTCTTCTGTATATAACTGATGTTGTTTCTTTCCACATCAATATATTGTAATTATAACCAATGTAGAAAGTACGTTAATGGTTGACAATGAACTATTTGGTGTTGCAGCAGAGAGGGAGACAGAGTCGTTCCAAAGTGATAACCAAAGCTTGGCATCCATTTTTCTTTTTCGTCAGAAAAGTGATTTTTTTTAAAAAATTGAAAGAGCTACCACCACCACACCCACATTACTCATGTACCACAGAAAACGTTAAGATCCAATATTTATGTTATGGGGTCCAAAAAAGAAGCCAATTCAAAATGAAGCACTAGTGTTCACAGGAAAAATGTATTATTTGCTAATTATAAAAAGTTTTCAATACTGCTCTGAGCTTCTTGTTAATTCTCTCTCTCTTAACCTTTTTTTTTTTTTTTTTTTTTAATCTGGTTCATTGAGTCTGTCCTTGCACCATTTGTAGCTTACTAAAATGTTGGCAGACTTCTTTGTTTTTGTTCAGGTGAGCCCTTTGCAGATTAATTATAAAATGGTTGACAAAAAGGACAATAGTGGATTAAAAGTCCTTTGGCTCTTGCGGTTTGAAGAATGTGAGGCTTTCGTTTTTCAAAAACAATGTCCATGTCAATGAATTTCCAAAACCATATTACCATTGTGGATGAGAATCACTATTTTTTTTTTTT